AAGAGTTTTAGGCAGAATAGAGGATCTTGACAAATACTTAATCTCAAGAACTGTGGAGTAGTACAATCAAGAAAACTACAAATAAAACCAAAGTAATAAGCGAGGCACTGGTCGCTCACACCTGTACTCCAAGATACTCAGGTTGAGATTTGAGGATCACAGTTTGAAGCCAACCTTGACAGAAAAATGTATGAGACTCATCTCCAATTAAGCACCAAAAATCCAGAAGTGGAAGTGTGATTCAAACGGTAGCACAAAAGCTCAGAGACAGTGCCCATGCCTTGAATTCAAGCCCTAGTACCAGTACTCCCCCGGAGAAAAGTGCAATTAGAAAGACACATTTTTGCATTTCTCTCCAACTGAATCTAACCACAAAATTAATTCAACTTCAAGACATTCACTCAAAAATTATACAAGAAGTCATTTTACCCACAACTGCTTTGGTTTAAGGAAAAATAAAGCAAGCCAAGAAGGCAAGGCACACTCATATAATCTTACAAGAGGCTGCCATTCATGAATGCACACAGCAAGGCAGCCTTTCACCAGGGTCCTCAGCCTCATATGGAAACCATCAGGGTCTAATTAAAGAAAGGAAGCAGTAAAGGAGTGCAGCCAGCAGTCTGCAGAACTTGCAGGTCACTGAAGGTCACCCACTGCAACCTAGCATCTTGTGTCAAACTTGCAGTGTACCACATGTCAAACCCCTCAGACTCTAGGGCAGCTTTCAATTCCTCAATCAAGTAGTTGATTTTCAATCTTTGGAGACTGCAATTCCATTGTATGTGTGTGTATTGGGGGGTGAGGGGGTACATATGTGCACACGAAAGCACACCAATCCTGAGGCTTGAATTCAGGGCCTAGGCACTGTTCCTGAGCTTTTGTTTTATTTTGTTTTTTGGGTCCGGTCGTGAGGCCTGAACTCTGGGCCTGGGCGCTGTCCCTCAGCTCTTCAGCTCAAGGCTAGCGCTCTACCACTTGAGCCACAGCACCACTTCCGGCTTTTTTCTTTTTGCTTATGTGGTGCTGAGGTATGGAACCCAGGGCCTCAGGCATACAAGGCAAGCACTCTACCACTGAGCCACCTTCCCAGCCCTGTCCCTGAGCTTTTTTGCACAAGACTAACACTATACAACTTGAACCACAGCTCACTTCCACTTTTTGGTGGTTAGTTGGAGAAAAGACTTTCCTGCCCAGGGTGGCTTCAAACCACAATCCTCAGATCTCGGGCTCCTGGCTAGCTAAGACTGATTACAGGCATGAGCTACCAGCACCAAGCACCTCAAGTCTATTTCCAATGTGCATACTTACACACTACTGGGAGAATATTTAAGGCAACTGGAAAAGATTATTGAGCTGGAATGGATGAAAATTTTGTCAGTGCATACTCTCTTGCAAGCTGCTTGAATTATTATTATTTTGGGGGGGGTCTGGCCATGGGCCTGAACTCTGGGCCTGGGTGCTGTCCCTCAGCTCTTCACCTCAAAGCTAATGCTCTACCACTTGAGCCACAGCTCTACTTCCGGCTTTTTTATTTCTGCTTATGTGGTGCTGAGGAATCGAACCCAGGGCCTCATGCATGTAAGGCAAGCGCTATACCACTGAGCCACCTTCCCAGCCCTTTAATTATTTTTTTTAATCTCTTGTCTAGTTTAATGTCTTCTCAATTTTTAGTGTTTTAAACATAAGGACATAAGGACAGGGAGATCAATGTTTCTTCCTCCTCCTTTCCCACCACCTGCTGTGCCAGGGAAGAGCATTAAAGTATATCATGGGGTTGCCCAGTGGGAGGCAGGAAGCCAGAACCTTACAACTGGCCACTCAGGGTGATGCAGATGGAGTCAAGCCTAAACCACACAGGGGAAGCATGGAAATAGGGTGAGGGCACTGAATTACCAACTGGGACATTTTCTGGGGCCTTTTCACGCTGTAACATATACATGATATATAAGCATTCCAGCTTAAGGCAGCTTTTTTCTGTTGTTTTTTTTTCTTTTTTTTTTGTTTTTTTCTTTTTTTTTTTTGTTTTTTGGGTCCGGTCGTGGGCCTGAACTCTGGGCCTGGGCGCTGTCCCTCAGCTCTTCAGCTCAAGGCTAGCGCTCTACCACTTGAACCACAGCACCACTTCCGGCTTTTTTCTTTTTGCTTATGTGGTACTGAGGAATCGAACCCAGGGCCTCGGGCATGCAAGGCAAGCGCTCTACCACTGAGCCACCTTCCCAGCCCCCTCAGGTTTTTTCTTAACCAATAGCAAGAAGTAAAAACAAGATGGAAGACTTCATTCTCTTCCCTACTTTCCCAAAGATTTCTCATCAAAAGGACTGGCATAGTGATGCACATCTTTAATCCCCAACACTCAGAAGACAGAATCAAGAGGTCAGCAAGTCTGAGGCCAGCCTAGGCTAGACAGTAACCCTTGCCTTGGAAAAAAAAGGAAAGAATATCTACTAAGAACATCTAAGCGCTCAGTGGTAGAGCGCTTGCCTTGCATGCTTGAGGCCCTGGGTTCGATGCCTCAGCACCACATAAGCAGAAAAAGCGGGAAGTGGGGCTGAGGCTCAGGTGGTAGATCACTGGTCTACAGCTGAAGAGCTGGGGGACAGCGCCCAGGCCCAGAGTTCAGGCCCTACAACTGACCAAAAAAAAAGACTATGACCTGGAGGAAAGAGGGAAGCTAGGGGGATTAGGGAGAATAATTACAAGAAAGTAAAAGCACCGGTGGCTCCCGCCTGTAATCCTAGCTACTCAAGAGGCTGAGATCTGAGGATCACAGTTCAAAGCCAGCCCAGGCAGGAAAGTCTGTGAGACTCTTATCTCTAATAAACCACTAGAAAACTGGAAGTGACGCTGTGGCTCAAGTGGTAGAGCACTTGCCTTAAGCTGAAGAGCTGAGGGACAGCGCCCAGGCCCAGAGTTCAAGCCCCACGACTGACCAAAAAAAAGAAAAAAAAAAAAAGCTGGGCAGCCAGGTGCTGGCTGTTTACGCCTATAATCCTAGCTACATAGCAGGCTGAGATCTGAGGATTGCGATTCACAGCAAGCCCAGGCAGGAAAGTCCATGAGACTCTTTTCCCCAAGTAACCACCAAAATAACTGGAAGTGGAACTATGATTCAAAGTGGTAGAGTACTAGCTGTGAGCATAAAAGCTCAGGAATCAGCACATAGGCTCTGCGTTCAAGCTCTATGACCAACAAAATTTTTTTTAAAAAAGGGCTGGGAAGGTGGCTCAGTGGTAGAGTGCTTGCCTTGCATGCATGAGGCCCTGAGTTCGATTCCTCAGCACCACATAAGCAGAAAAAGCAGGAAGTGGTGCTGTAGCTCAAGTGGTAGAGCACTAGCCTTGAGCTGAAGAGCTGAGGGACAGTGCCCAGGCCCCGAGTTCAGGCCCCAGGACTGACAAATAAAAAAAAAGAAAAAAAGAAAGAAAGAAAGAAAATTAAAAAAAAAAAAGAGCTGGGCACAGTGGTTCATGCCTGTAATACTAATTGAGAGGCTCACAATTCAAGGCCAACCCAGGAGGAGTTCTCAAGACCCCATCTCAACCAGTAAAATGCTAGGTACAGTGGTATGTGCTTGCCATCTCAGCTACTCAGAAGCCTAAATGGAAGCATAATCAGCAAAAAGACCTTATTTGAAAAATACTAAAAGCAAAAAGGGCTGGGGCATGGCTCAGGTGGTAGAGCACCTGCCTAGCAAACATGAAGCAATGAGTTCAAATCCACAGAAATTAAGGGAAGGGAGGGGGAAGGGACCTGGAGAGAAGAAGAGGGGAGGAGAAGGAAGCCAGATAGGGGGAAGAAGACAAGAGAAGAGGGGGATGGGGGAAGAGAAGAAAGGGAAGGGGGAGAGGAGTCAAAACAAACAGTAACATAAACCTACCAAGCATTCCATGGTGTTAAAATCATGACACAGATACAGGTTGCCTGAGAGGCAGCTTTTCATGACAGTTAGTAACTATGGTACTATGTAATGCATTTTTTAAAGAAAAAATCTGTAGTCTAAGTTTTTGAAGGCATGGTCAAACTAGGCAAGAAATAGAAAACCTAACCATTTTTAGGTATGAACATATGTGAACTGTATAATAATGAATTTTAAATTAATGTACATTAACTTATGAAAATGAAACTTAAAGCCATCACTTTCAAGATGACCCGAAATGCAACCCACACAAACTAAAATGATGAATTAAATGTGCAACACTAGGCCACATTAAGTGCCAGAAGTTATAGTAAATCTGAAGTAATATGAAATCAATCCATTTCTCCTAGCACATTTTTGAGTTAATGCTATTAAAGAGCAACAGGAAATAAAAAAAGTCATGTTACATAAACAAATGATAGCTGCCAGAACAGAAATTGTCTTCAATGGAGCTGGGTGCCAGTGGCTCACTCCTGTAATCCTAGCTACTCAGGAGGCTGAGATCTGAGGACCAAGGTCCAAAGCCAGCCCAGGCAGGAAAGTCAGTGAAACTCTTCTCTCCAATTAACCACAAAAAGCAAAAAGTGGACCTATGGCTCCAGTGACTAGCCTTGAACACAAAAGTTCAGGGACAGTGCTCAGGCCAGAGTGCAAGGCCCAGGATGGGGGTGGGGGGAAGAGAGGACAATGGGTAGGACCATTTAGCCTTCTTAGAATCTCAGCCAAGAGAGGCAAACTGAAGAACAAAAGAACCATGCCATTTAGCAGGCACACTTGAGCAGAGTGGAAGACATCATTTACTGCTCAGCCAGCTGTGAAGCCCATAAATAAAACAGATAATACAGATACACCGTAGGCCTCCTATCTCAAGCAGGCAGACCCAGCTGAGAATGAATTACTTCCAGTACTAGAGGAGCAGTAGACTTAAGATGACCCTTAACCAAGGGAATATTTTTAGATGGGCTATGTTATTTGAAATTCCAGGCTACTGTAAGAAAGAGTAGACACTGTTTAATTGTGCACAGCATGAAATCACCAACAGCAATTAGCAGTGTCTTGGGTAAGAGCTGGTCTGCCCACTTACCGTTCTCCACGTAAGGATGAAAGGGCAGAACCAGAGCTAGGATGACCCTGCCTCTAGTTGGCTCCAAGACACTTCGGATATCTTTTAACAGAGTCAGGGGCTGATCGCAGCGGTCCAGCAAATTCAAGCAGCTGATGACGTCATACTGGAAGCCTGTATTCTGCCATTCATTTATACCAAGCACTCTGGAGAATGAGAAAGAACTTAATAGTTAGGATTTCTCTCCTTAAAAACATCGTTAAAAATAACTGAGATGCCAATAAAGGCCCTAACTTGTCTCCTAAGTCAAATAAAAACCAACTATGTATTTAGATCATTTATATTTACAGCAAAACAAAGGCTAGACAAGAGAAAAATGACAACCACATTTCTTTAAATTTACCATTCCACCTGTTTACAAATAATAAACTTACAAAGCCTCTTTTAAGAGAGCCACTCATAAACAGCCAGGCACTGAGTAGCCAGCACTCAGGAGGCTGAGATCTGAGGATCGCCATTCAAAGACAGCCTGGACAGAAAAGTCTGTGAACACTCTTATTTCCAGTTAGCCACCAGAAAACTGTAAGTGGCGCTGTGGCTCAAGTGGTAGAGTGCTCACCTTGAGCAAAAGAGCTCAGGGACAGGTCCTGAATTCAAGCCCATCATTGAAAAAAAAAAAAAAATCACTGTCAAATAGCTAGGCATTGGTAGCTCATGCATATAATTGTAGCTACTTAGGAAGCTGAGAGCTAAGGACTGTAGGTTCAAAGGCAGACAAACTGGCAAGATGCTTACCTCCAATTAACTAGCAAAAACCCAGAACAGCAGCTGGGAGTTAAAGCCAAGCAAGAGTATGAGACCTGGAGTTCAAGCCCCAGTGCTGGCACACACACTCCTCCCCACCCCAACCCCGGCTAAAAAAAAAAAAAGGACCACAGCTGTAGCTCAGCAAGACCCTGAGTTCAAACCCCTATACTGCCAAAAAGAGAAAAAAGGAGGCATCATTATGTAGAGTCCTAGTACTGCTCCATTAAGGCAATTCAATGAGCTACTGACTCCTGTTTGGTTCTGCCACGCAGAATATGTGACAGGTGTGGTAGTGATCGATGAAAAGGGCGCACAAAGAATGATCTTTGAAAACAAGATTTTAATAACACTGAATGGCTACAAGAGCAATCTTAGAAAGTTCTAAAAGCATACTTTAGAATGAGGACTGTTTTGAAAAACTCATTAGCAGAATGCTATTTGATGGCCCTTGTGAGAAGTACAAGGAAAAGGAACCCAACCCACTCAGGTGCATCTTCTTTTCCATCTATACTCATAAAACTAAGGTCTCCTCCAAGCCAAGCCTAACAAACTTCAAGAATCTAGTTGGATTCTTTAGTTGTACAAGTGTGTAACTGTACTCTGAGACAAATGGGACATTAAGACTTCAAAATCACTTGGTCGCCGGACACTGGTGGCTCACACCTGTAATCCTAACTACTCAGGAGGCTGAGATCTGAGGATTATGGTTCAAAGTCAGCCTGGGCAGGAAAGTCTGTGAGACTCTTACCTCCAATTAGCTTAAGTGGTTGAGCATTAGCTTTGAGCTAAAGAAGCTCAGGGACAGCAACTAGGTCCTGAGTTCAAGCCCCAGGACTGGCCAAAAAAAAAAAAGGGGGTGGGGGGAGGAATAGCCAGGTGCTGGTAAGTCATGCCTATAATCCTAGCTACTCAGGAGGCTGAGATCTGAGGATCAAGCCAGCCCAGGCAAGAAAGTCCTCATGAGACTTTATCTCCAATCAATCTCCAGAAAACTAGAAGTGGAGCTGTGGCTCAAAGTGGTACAGCATTAGCCTTGAGCAAAAAGAGCTCAGGAACAGTGCCCCATAACCAAAAAAAAAAAAAGCAGATATGGTATGGAACCAGCAATTGCACTGCTGCACACACAGCCCAACAGTGAAAGCAGGCCTGCATACCTATGTTCGCACTGACTCACAATGACAAATGGGAGAAGCTGAATGTCAATCAGAAAATGAAATGGATGCACATGCACAGGTTGGGATGTCACCCGTACCTTCTAAAGACACACCAGAAGCGTGGAGGGACATAACAATATCATGCTTAGTGCAACAGGCCAGTCACAAAGAACAAAAGCACCCAGAAGAGGCAAACCCACAGAGACAAACAGGACAAGTAGGGGCTAGGAGGTAAAAAGGAAACTCCTAATTTGTTGGGGACAGTTTCAGCTCTGGGAATATTTAACAGTACAATATAAATATGCTATGCTGAAAACCACTAACCAAACTGTATACTTAAAAATAGTGTAGAACAGCCAGGAACCAGTGCTTCACCCCTATAGTCCTAGCTACTTAGGAGGCTGAGATCTGAGGATTACAGTTCAGAGCCATCCCAGGCAGGAAAGTCCGTGAGTCTCTTATCTCCAATTTACCACCAGAAAACCGGAAGTAGCGCTGTGGCTCAATCCTACCTGGGGACCAAGTCCCAACAAATGACCGGCCTTACCCAGCGGTTTCCACTATCCCTTGGCACACACACACATACACACACACATACACACACACACAAAAACACACACACCTCCCTCTCTGCCCCTCCTCTGCCCCACAGAAATACAGCCATGGAAGGATTATTTCCACTAACTTGTCTTCTAATTCCTGACCACAGAAAACTGTTTTTGGTTCAGAGCTTTTAAAAAAAATACACTTTAAGAAGAAATCCATCAAAAACCAAGCAAAGCACCCAAGCTCCATCTCAAGGTAGTACCTGTACTTCTTCTTCTGCAGCTGCCAGATCATGGTTTCTGAAAGCTCGGTGGCATAGATTTCTTCAAAATGAGGACTCATTATTTTTGTGACTTCTCCATCACCAGCACCTAAGTCAAGCAGTCTGTGGGTTTTCCAATCCGGATTAATTTTAAGTAGTCTCTGGAACTGATCTGGTGAAAACACAAACATTGAGCCTCTTCCTAGCAACCTGCGGGGGGGGAAAAAGGGACAAATATGGAAGTCTGTGGAAATGAAGGCCCACACACACAAGCACAGTGGCAGGCAGTGACTCAGCACCAACAAGCTTCCAACTGAAAATTTATCTTTTACTTGACTACTATGACTTTTAAAAAGGAAAAGTCAGGCTGGGCATTAGTGGCTCATGCCTAGAATACTAGCTACTCAGGAGGCTGAGATCTGAGGATCATGGCTTAAACCTAGCCTGAACAGAAAAGTCAGAACACTCCTACCTCCAATGAACTGACAAAAAGCCAGAATTGGTGCTGTTGCTCAAAGTGGTAGAGTGCTAGACTTGAGCTCAGAAACAGTGTCCAGGCCTAGAGTTCAAGCACCAGGACAGACCACCCCCCCCCCAAAAAAAAAGTGAAGTTAGCAAGGTAAGAAACTTATCTCCATATGATTTGTCTTGTGAGTTGCAAATAATATTCCAAAAGGCACAGGAGTGGGGGGAGCTGAGAAGGTGAAGGAAAGGAAGAGGTGGATCAAGGATGAGAGAAGGGTACAGGCAACTTCAGTGAACATAGAAAGAAGAGGTAAAAGCTTGGCAGCAAATACGTGGGCCAGTTAATAAGATGTCAGGTAACTGAATCAGGCACCTCCCTAGATAGCTAAATCATACATAGCATTTGGAAGATGGAACTACTCACCAGATGAGGGGATGAGAAAAAAAACGATTTGTATAAGACTTTTTTTTGGCCAGTCTCAGGGCATGAACTCAGAGCCTGGGCACTGTTCCTGAGCTTCTTTTGCTCAAGGCTAGCACTCTACCACTTGAGCCACAGCGCCACTTCTGGTTTTTTCTGTTTATGTGGTACTGAGAAATCAAACCCAAGGTTTCATGCGTGCTAGGCAAGCACTCTACCACTAAACCACATTATTCTAATCCATGTATAATAGACCTTTTAACAGACCTTTAGCTGGGCACCGGTGGCTCACACCTGTAATCCTAGCTACTCAGGAGGCTGAGATCTGAGGATCGAGGTTCAAAGCCAGCCCGGGCAGGAAAGTCCGTCAGACTCTTATCTCCAATAAACCACTAGGAAACTGGAAGTGGCACTCAAGCGGTAGAATTCTGGCCTTGAGCTGAAGAGCTGAGGGATGAGGGACAGCGCTCAGGGCCAGAGTTCAAGCCCCACAACCGACAAAAAAAAAAAAAAGGAAAAGATCAGGTGAATTGGCTCACTCCTGCAATCTAGGCTACAAAGAGAAAATGAAGATCAGGAGGTTTATCAAGAACAGTCCTGGCAAAAAGTAAGCAAGACCCTGCATCTCAAACAATAAAGCTGGGTGTGGTGGTCTTCATCTATAATGGGAGAGGCATAAACAGGAAGATTGTGGTTCCAGGCTAGTCTGAGTAAACCTATGAGACCCTATTTGAAAAATAACTTTAAAAAATTAGAAAAGAAAAGGAGTTGGAATGTAGCACCAGTGGTAGAGCACCTGCCTAGCAAGCAGAAGGCTCTGAATTTAAACACTAGTATTGGAGGGAAAGGAAAAAAAAAGTGGTCCTTAGATTTATATTTGCTTTTTCACGCAAGGCTGGTGTTCTACCACTTGTGCCACAGCGCTATTTCTGGCTTTTTGCTGGTGAACTGGAAATAAAGAGTCTCATGGACTTTTTTGCTCAAACTGGCTTCAAACCTCAATCCTCAGACCTCAGCCTCCTGAGTAGCACCCAGCCCTAAACAACTTTTCAGGCCACAGAAATATCTTTGAAAAGAGACTGAGAAAAGTTAAGTGGAGATGGATGAGAACACTCTGAGAAGGAGCTATGGCTCAAGTGTCTCAGAAACCTGACCTTGGGAAGGAATGGCACTCCAAAGCTAGCACCAGGCTAGTCTAAACCCTGCTGTGGGGGGCACAATTCTGCAACTTCCTTTAAGGGGCGGAGCATTTCCTTAAACAAAGCCAGAAGTCACACTAATGATGAGCCTGAGGGGCAGCTGCAGCTGCAGGGAGGCTGAGCCTGGAGCTGGGACCCACCACTTCCAGAATTCCTTTACAGACAGAACAGCTCCCATGCCCCTTGCTGGGAAATGGAGACTGTACTTCCACTTTCTGGACACCATCAGTGTCAAAGATGTTTGCTACACAGGGGCTGGTATGATGCAGACCTGTGGGGCTTGCGGTAAACCAGCTGCAGGGAGGAATTACAGTGAAGTTCCAGTCACAGAGCCTCTCCTCTGTGCCCATTAAAGACTTGCACCAAATTTCATAAACTAGTTACAGTAAATACTTTTTTATACTAAAATATTTCGAAGTTAATTTCTTATGTGACTTCTTTGCAAGACCCAAAGGAAAGCAGGGCACTGGGGGCTCATGCCCGTAATCCTAGCTACTCAGGAGGCTGAGATCTGAGGATCGCAGTTCAAAGCCAGCCAGGGCAGAAAGTCTGTGGGACTCTTGTCTCCAATTAACCACCAGAAAACCAAATGTGGAGCTGGGGCTCAAGTGATATAGAGCACTAGCCTTAAGTAAAACGCAGCTTAGGAACAGTACCCAGGCCCCGTGCTCAAGCCCTAGGACCAGCATACTACTACTAATAATAATAGTAGTAGTAGTAGTAGTAGTAGTAGTTGTTGTTGTTGTAATAGTAATATATTATATATATCAACAAATGAACTGGAAAATGAAATATCACATCTCTAGGGACAGACAGGTATCATAGTACTTGGAAACAGAAATGTTCTTACCTAAATGTTGGCCAAATTAAGTGGTATATTTAAAACTGTAATGGTAGCCATTTTAGCTGGCATAGGAATAAACTTTCTTTTCTTTTCTTTTATTTAGATCAGAGACCAAGACTTGAACTCGGTATCTGCCGCTTTCACTCACTGGCTAACACTTTGACCAACTGAGCCAAGCCTCCAACCCCAGAAGTAAAATTTCTATACTACAGAGGCAGGAGTAATCCCACCAATGCAACTGTAAGGGGCCAAGTGAATGGAAAAAAATAAAAGCTAAGTGCATTAAAGAAAAGGAAATGCCATAAACTATTGCTTGTTATGATGGGAATATTTCTATTAAAATGTTTTCATTTGAAAACAGTAATATATTTTCAGTACGTGGCAAAAGGGGGCCGGGGGGAACCCCAGAGTCACCTGACCAGGATGCTATAAACTGTGTAGGTTCACCAAAGACAACCACACCTCATTAACACACGCTGTTTCTGACCTCAGTTTTGGTGTATTCTAGTGGAAAAACAAGCACGTCTAACAAAGTCTGAACTTCCTGGAACAGATGTTCATTGTTCATTCAGTCCAGCTGGAAGGGACTACAGGCAACACCACAGACAGGCAGTTAAGTTTCAAGTCCTGTCATTCTGCTTTAAAGCATTCGTGCTTCCCAAGCCATCTCCTTCGTGGGAAGGAACTCTGACGTGACACTTAGAAAATTCTATAGCTCTAGATCGTCTAAGTCAGAGCGTACAATGTCACCTGATTGGAGACAATGGGGGAAGGAGAGTACTGTACTACTTCCAAAGACAGGAGTGATACAGGCTCCATGGAAAGATCAATAATATTAAAAAACAAATCAAGGCCAGGCACAGTTGTACATACCTACAATACCAGCTACTTGGGAGACAGACATGAGGAGGACTGCAGTCCCAGACCAGCCTCACTGCAACAGTTAACCTGGGTCTAGAGATATACAACTATAATCCCAACCATGAGGAAGAACAGGTGAATCACAGTCCAAGGCCAATCATGAGAGGGCAAAACATGAGAGGGGGGAGAGAAAAAAAAGAGCAAAAAAGACTGGGGCATAGCTCAAGTGTTCAAAACCCAGAATGCTGGGGCTGGGGAGGTGGCTCAGTGGTAGAGCGCTTGCCTTGCATGCATGAGGCCCTGGGTTCAATACCTCATTACCACATAAGCAGAAAAAGCCAGAAGTGGCGCTGTGGTTCAAGTGGTAGAGCGCTAGCCTTGAGCTGAAAAGCTGAGGGACAGCGCCCAGGCCCAGAGTTCAGGCCCCACGACCGCAAAAAAAAAAAATAGGGACAAAACCCAGAATGCTAAAAAAATAATAATCCAAAATCATGCGCTTAGTGTGTTGCTCAATCAGGACAGACTTTGTCCTCTAGGGGACAGTGGGTAGTTTTAATCTAGCGAGGCAATACCAGGAAAATCAGACTTCTGGAGTTGCATGGCGAAGTCTAACACAATAAAAACCGGGTCTAGGGTTGGGAAGGTGGCTCAGTGGTAGAGTGCTTGCCTTGCATGCATGAGGCCCTGGGTTCGATTCTTCAGCACCACATAAGCAAAAAGAAAAAAGCCGGAAGTGGCACTGAGGCTCAAGTGGTAGAGCGCTAGCCTTGAGCTGAAGAGCTGAGGGACAGTGCCCAGGCCCAGAGTTCAGGCCCCACGACTGGACCCAAAAAAAAAAAAGAAAGAAGAATAAAAACCGGGTCTAGCTAGCACTGGGGGCTCATGCCTGTAATCCTAGCTACTCAGGAGGCTGAGCTCTGAGGATCCAGGTTCAAAGCCAGCCCAGGCAGGAAAGTCCATGAGACTCTTATCTTCAATTAACTCCAAAAAACCGGAAGTGGTGTTGTGGCTCAAGTCTTACCTTGAGCTGAAGAGCTCAGGGTCAGCGCCCAGGCCCAGAGTTCAAGCCCCACAACTGAAAGCAAAAAAAAAAAAAAAAAAAAAAGGCCTAACTATAATAGCAACATTGACAGAGCAAGGTTTCTGGTAAGCACACACTGTAGAGAGTTGTGCTTTTTTCTTTTTGCTTATGTAGTGCTGAGGAATCAAACCCAGGGCCTCAGGCATGCAAGGCAAGTGCTCTACCACTGAGCCACCTTCCCAGCCCTGTCCATGAGATTCTTATCTCTAATTAATCATTCAAAAACCAGTATTGGAGCAATGGCTCAAGTGGTAGAGTGCTAGCCTTGAGTGAAAAAGCTAAGGGACAGCACCTAGGCCCTGAGTTCAAACCCCAGGACTGGCATTAAAAAAAAAAAAAAAAGCTAAGAAAGAATCAAACTAAGTAACTAAGAAGACTACCAAGACTACTTGACAAGTTGGAGTAAATTTAAGCCTAAGAATAGAAAGCCACACAGTGGACTGACAGCCAAAGATTTTGACAAGTATTTTAGCTGAGGTGATCAATATCTAATGTGCTGGCTAATTTTCCTCTTTACTTTTTAAACCTTGGTACAAAGAAAAAGACAAGGTCCAGCATTCACTTACCCATTGATAGACGTTCTAGACATAAACAGGCTAAAAACAGATGACACAAAAGAGTGATATAACTGGATGAACAGCCAGCCGGATTTCTCAATGCTGTTGTTTAGGAAGATCTGTGTCCCTTGATCGAGGTAACTCTGAACAAAGACGGCCTGAAGTGACTCGCATAACTTCTCTCTGTTACACACATACCACTAAAAAGAAATAAAAATTAAAAAACACAATGTCACCTAAGAAATTCAAAAGCAAATGAAAAGAAAATGACTCAAATCAAATTTAAGATTTCAAATAACACAGTCTCATGGACTTTGAGATCGTACCATGAATATTAACTGTCATCTTTTAAGCCTATGTTGTCCTAGAAAGGAGCAAACATTTCTTCAGACATGACTTTTCACTTGATTCCAGTGACAACCCTCCAGGCAGGTGGCAGGAGAAAAGGGGAGGGTGAGAAGACCTTGTTTTTCTGGGGTTTTGTTTTTTTAAGGGGGATTGTTTCATTTTGTGTCATTACTGGGGCTTAAAATCAGAGTCTCCTGCTCTTGCTTGTTTTTTGTTTGTTTTTTACACACAGTTGGCACTCTACTACTTGAGCTACAGCTCCACTTCCGGTTTTTTGCTGGTTAGTTGGAGGTAAGAATCTCACAAACTTTTCAGTGCTAGCTAGCTTCAAACTGTGATCCTCAGATCTCAGCCTCCTGAGTAGCTAGGATCAAAGGCATGAGTCCCCAGCACCTACCCAGAAACAGACTTTTTAGAACAAAATTCAAAAGCTTAAACTGTAAATAAAATTTTGTCTTCCATGATAATGTTTTCCATTTCTCTGAGTTAGTGTACCAGATAAGTGAATTGGGAAAGCCGATTGTACATCGCTGTAAACTCAGCGGGTCCCCTAATCCAAGCCTCTCTTCACTCACCTGCAGACTAGAGAGGCATCTGTCTATCCTGACTGGGAACTGGGAGGATTAAACAAAACCACAGAGCCAGGCGCTGGTGACTCAGGCCTGTAATCCTAGCTACTCAGTAGGCTGAGATCTGAAGATCGCAGTTCAAAGCCAGCCAGGCAGGAAAGGCTATGAGACTCTTATCTCCAATAAACCACTCAGAAAACCAGAAGTGGTGCTATGGCTCAAGTGGTGGAGCACTCGCCTTGAGCTGAAGACCTGAGGGATAGCACCCAGGCCTAGAGTTCAAGTCCCATGACCAACCAAAAAAAAACCAAACAAACAAAAAAAAACAAAAACACAGAACATGCAGTGAGAATTCTGTGACAACAAGGTTGCTCTAATGTCACTGATAAGTGAGCCCAGAATGGACCACCACGTAGCTCAAAGTGAGCCATTCATCCAAACCTGCTAGGAATCACCCAATTCTTCCCACAAGATAACTTGCCTCTCTGACAAGTAAAGCCATGTGTCAGCAGCAGGAGTCCTGTAACATCTTGCAAAACCGGTGGACCAATTTAACAACCACCCTAGCTTGCTAAATGAAATCTTGAGTAACATCCCTGACGCTAACATTAAAAGGAACTGACACTAACATTAAGGAACTGGTTATTGTTCACACCTGAAATCCTAGCTACTCAAGAGGATGAGATGTGAGGATCATGCTTCAAAGGCAGCCTGGGCAGATAAATCCAAGAGACACTTATTTGCAAGTAGTCAGCAAAAAGCCTGAAGCGGAGCTGTGGCTCAAGTGGTAGAGCGCTAGCCTTGAGGTAAAGAGCTGAGGGACAGTGCCCAGAGTTCAGGCCCATGACTGGACCCAAAAACAAACAAACAAACAAAAAGATAAGTGACAGGGCCCAGGCCCCAAGTTCAAGCCCCAGTACTGACATCAAAACAAAGGGGAAAAGGAACCAGTTACAAAGCAACAAAAAGGCACAATACATCTCAAAGATTTATCATTTTACAAACACTGTACTCCAAACTAGATAACAAATCTTTCCAGTAGCTGACTTAACAATGGTTACACCAGAATTTCTTGGACTTTGCATACAACTCTTCCTTTTCCCCACTGACAGGACAAGCTACAAAGCTTCCTACATTCAGTGCTACACTTTCTTCCTCAGTCTGCAAGTGCTCTGGCTCAAACATTTACTTTTTTTTTTTTTGGTCTGTCATGGGGCTTGAACTCTGGGCCTCAGAGCTCCCCCTGCCCTCTTCAGCTCAAGGCAAACTCTCCACCACTTGAGCCACAGCAACACTTCTGGTTTTCTAGTGGTTTATTGGAGATAAGAGTCTCACGGACTTTCCTGCCCAGGCTGGCTTTGAACCATGACCCTCAGGTCTCAGCCTCTGAGTAGCTAGGATTACAGGTGTGAGCCACCAGCACCCGGCCATTTACTTAAGACATCTTGTGTCACAGTTCTATTCCAGTATAGGACATGAGCTGTGCTAATATACTTAGGTCCTCCTGGGGCAATTCAGAATTCTCTATGATGGAGGCCACTCTGGAGCTTGAACTCAGGGCCTGGGTGCTGTCCCTGAGCTTCTTTTGCTCAGAGCTATTGCTCTACCATTTGAGCCACAGCGCCACTTCCAGCTTTTTCTGAGATTTATTAGAGCTAAGAGTCTCACAGACTTTCTTGCCCAGGCTGGCTTCAAGCTGTGATCCTCAGATCTCAGCCTCCTGAGCAGCTAGGATTACAGGTGTGAACCACCAACATCTGGCTCACTCACTGTTGATTCTCCAGAATGCCTACTACATAAGACAAAAACCACTACCTCGATGACAGACAATGTGCCCATACTGAAGTTTGAACTCAAGCACTGTTCCTTAGCTTTTTCACTCAAGGTTGAGCAGTAGCTCCATGCTTCATCTCACATTTGGCTTTTTGTTGGTTAATTGTAGTCTCATGAACTTCTTGCTTGAGCTGGCTTCCAGCTACAAATAGTTTTGTTGAAACAGTCACCATGTTCATTCTTCTGTAGTCAGTGAGTGCTTCCAGCTAGAGCAGAAAAGCACTGGCTACACTGTGGTCCACACACCTATACGGTTCACTCTGGCTCTTCACAAATGGAAAAGTTTCTTACAAGGAAAAAGTTTTTCCAAGAGTCCCCAGTGCAGCAAGCAACTGCAGTTGCCGGCTCGAAAATGCAAGAGGCAGAGTGGTTAGATGAACTGTCTGGGGAGAAATAAAGCCAGACAAGAGAAACAAGCGGCCGTCACATTTTACTGTAGGCACACTTGGAACAAAAATGGAAAGCAACAGACTGCAGGGCTGGGAAGGTGGCTCAGTGGTAGAGCGCTCGCCTTGCATGCCTGAGTCCCTGGGTTCCATTCCTCAGCACCACATAAACAAAATGTAAAAAGCCAGAAGTGGTGCTGTGGTTCAAGTGGTAGAGCGCTAGCCTTGAGCTGAAGAGCTGAGGGACAGCACCCAGGCCCAGAGTTCAGGCCCCACGACCGGACACCCCCCCCCCAAAAAAAAACAACAAATTAACAGACTGCAGCAGGGTCTTTTTTGATCGTACCTAGTACTTGAGTGAAAGCAGGCCCCACGACCGGACACCCCCCCCCCAAAAAAAAAAACAACAAATTAACAGACTGCAGCAGGGTCTTTTTTGATCGTACCTAGTACTTGAGTGAAAGCAAGTGCTCCAGAGCTCTTGAACCTGAAAGGACCCTTAAATCCTGCTAACTAGGTTCTTGATAAAAATAAATTAAAAAAAAAAAAGTCATTGACAGCCTCTCAATCGATGGACTACAGAAATCATTATAAAACTTGCTGCAAGGGGCTGGGAAGATGGCTCAGTGGTACAGCGCTTGCCTTGCATGCCTGAGGCCCTGGGTTCGATTCCTCAGCACCACATAAGCAAAATGAAAAAAGCCGGAAGTGGCGCTGTGGCTCAAGCGGTAGAGCGCTAGCCTTGAGCTAAAGAGCTGAGGGACAGTGCCCAGGCCCAGAGTTCAGGCCCCACAACCGGACCCAAAAAAAAAAAAAAAAAAAAAAAACTTGCTGCAAGCCAGGCGCCAGTGGCTCACGCCTGTAATCCTAGCTACTCAGGAGGCTAAGATCTGAGGATCGTGGTTCAAAGCCAGCCTGGGCAGGAAAGTCCGTGAGACTCTTATCTCCAATAAAACACTAGAAAACTGAAAGTGGCATTGTGGCTCAAGCAGTAGAGCACTCGCCTTGAGCTGAAGAGCACAGGGACAGCACCCAAGCCCAGAGTTCAAGCCCCATGACCGACAAAAAAAAAAAAAAAAAAAAAAAATTTTGCTGCAACCAAACCATGGCAATTTCCTCCGGGGACAGATTCCAAAGGTTTTAAACTTTTATTATTTTTTTTTTTAAATACTGCTACTGGGGTTTGAGCTCAGGGCCTCAGCACAGGCCTTAGCATTTAAACTCATGCTTGGCACTCTCTACCACTTGAACCACACCTCCACTTCTAGTTTTTGTGTGTTTTTTTTGGTCAGTCTTGGGGCTTGAACTCTGGGCTTGGGTGCTGTCCCTGCGCTCTTCAGCTCAAGGCTAGCGCTCTACCACTTGAGTCACAGCACCACTTCCAACTTTATCTGTTTATGTGGTGCTGAGGAATCAAACCCAGGGCCTTGTGCATGCGAGGCAAGCATTCTACCAATGAGCCAACTTCCCAGCCCCACTTCTAGCTTTTTGGTGGTTAACTAGAGATAGGACATAGGAGTCTCACAGTCTCCCAGGCTGCCTTCAAGCTGCAGTCCTCACATCTCAACCTTCCCAGTAGCTAGGATTACAGGTGTGAGCCATCAGTGCCATCTGTCGATGATGAGGCTTGAATTCTGGGCCTGGGCACTGTCCCTCAGCTCTTCAGCTCAAGGCTAGTGCTCTACCACTTGAGATACAGTATCACTTTTAGCCTTCTGGTGGGTTAACTGGAGATAAGAGCCTTAAAGACTTTCCTGGTCCAGACTGGCTTTCAACCAAGATCCTCAGATCTCAGCCTCCAGAGTAGCTAGGATTACAGGCATGAGTCACCAGAGCCCAGTGCCTATTTGTGTGTGTGTGTGTGTGTCCGGTCGTGGGGCCTGAACTCTGGGCCTGGGCACTATTCCTCGGCTCTTCAGCTCAAGGCTAGCGCTGTACCACTTGAGCCACAGCGCCACTTCCGGGTTTTTTCTTTTTGTTTATGTGGTGCTGAGGAATCGAACCCAGGGCCTCATGCATGCAAGGCAAGCGCTCTACCACTGAGCCACCTTCCCAGCCCGCCTA